TTATACATGTATAATTTTAATAGAAACATAAGGACGTAGGCTGGATTAATAATATATAATACTAGCTGTGCCCGCGGTTTCATTCGCGTGAAATTTATAGCCTATATGTTATTCTAATGTATAAGGTATATTACTGTAAAGTTTCATCAAAATCCGTTCAGTAGTTTTTGCGTGAAAGAGTAACGAACATCCATGCTCGCAAACTTTCGCGTTCATAATATCAATTATAAGATATTACTAAAATAATTTAAAAGTTGTTGTTTTTTAAAAATTATATAACGCCATCTAGTGGTAAAAAAGTGAACTATTGGACAGTTATCAATGAACATTTTTAATTTTATCTAAAATAGTTTACAAGTTGTTGTTGTTATTTAAAAAACTATATAACGCCATCTAGTGATAAAAAGTGAACTATTGGACAGTTATCAATGAACATTTTTAACTTTTACTAAAATAGGTTACAAGTTGTTGTTGTTGTTTAAAAACTATATAACGCCATCTAGTGATAAAAAAGTGAACTATTGGACAGTTATCAATGGATATTTTTAACTTTTACTAAAATAGTTTACAAGTTGTTGTTGTTATTTAAAATTAAATAACGCCATCTAGTCATAAAAAAGTGAACTATTGGACAGTTATCAATGGATATTTTTAACTTTTACTAAAATAGTTTACAAGTTGTTGTTGTTATTTAAAATTAAATAACGCCATCTAGTCATAAAAAAGTGAACTATTGGACAGTTATCAATGAACATTTTTAATTTTATCTAAAATAGGTTACAAGTTGTTGTTGTTGTTTAAAAACTATATAACGCCATCTAGTGATAAAAAAGTGAACTACTAAAACAGTTACTAATGAACATATTAAACTTATACACACATACCATCTCCGTCTGAATAACGTACATATGTTAAAATAACACGGACGTTCTTTCATAATATTTAATCCAACATTCCAAGTTACAAGTTACGATAAGAATGTAATAAAGTAAAGTATAATAAAAATGCAAAGAAAATATGAAAAATATACAGAAAAAAAATACATACCTCGTCCCGGGGACCCTGAAATAATTCGAGATAGTACAACAAAGGTAGTACGTGCGCGTGATTTTGATTTCCTACTTAAAAGATGAAGATATTTATTAACTGCCAGTTCTGTATTATTTATTGTAACAGAGATACCGTTCTCATTAATTATTGGGATCACAATTCTGAGTAAGTTTTAATATAAACATAAACGACCTCGTGGTTTAGCAGTTTACCACGCCGACTTGTTTCCGTTGGCCGCGGGTTCAATTTCACTCACAGTTTAGTCTCACGACCAGTGGTGTCTGTGTGAATCTCGACGAGGTGCGTGAATGTAATCGTTGAAAACAATTATAAAATTCCAAATCTATACATATAAATGAAATTGGAGTGTCTGTTTGTAATATTGAAATAACCATTTTTTACTACATGCATATGAATATAAATACGGTACATACACCAAAATATCATTTTTTACTATTTTTGTCGGTATGTTTGTTCCGGCTAATCTCTGAAATGGCTGGATAGATTTTGACGGGACTTTTATTGGCAGGTAGCTGATGTAATAAGGAGTAACTTAGGCTACTTTTATTTTAGAAAAATAGAGTGAAATTCCACACGGACGAGTCGCAGATGCAGCTTGTTGTAAATAAAATTGTAATTATATATTTTGTATTAAAATGTCCATATTAACGGTATACCAAATATTGAGGAACAGAGAAACAAATGAAAATCGTAATCTCTCAGAACACAGCGCACTATATTTGATTATTATGAAATATATTATTGAAATGTTATTAACACTTATTTTTGTTGGAGTTTCCAACAGAGTCCTCTATCAACTTTCTACGATAGTCGGAACAACCTACATTCTATTTTATTAATGAAACAATATTTATAGAAACTCATGACATAAGTATTTCTATCAGTAGTTTTGTACCCAGAATACGAGCTCTACAGCCAAATTATATGTGAAACGAAAATTACCTTTTAATTTAAATTAATATTAAAATACAGTACAATAATATTTCATCTGTGATAGTGTAAGGCGAGTAGAAACGTAAATATTTACAGTAAAATTTCGATTGAAAGTATTGCTATCTCACTTGGGTGTGGAGAGACAAGGTCTCGTGATAGAGATGGAATGAACACTGAAGAATAACTAAATTAGCAATTTTATTTTGTGGACACACTCCTCATAACATCCCTCCGCGAGACACCTAAATTTAACGAGCTGTGCAAAGCAAATCCTATTCATTATGATCATCTATAGCGGTATTAAAGCCACGGTTATGCAACAAAAACACCGGATTTCTACCATTAGCGACTTAAAGAAAAAGTTCAAAGTCATGACCGTTACGCAGCAGGAATATCTGGGATCAGCACATTAAATGCGGGCACAATCCATCATAGTATCATTTCGTATCGGTTCGCGGAGATCGTTGACTTTTATCATTACTCTACCACTGAAACATTTAACTATATGATACGGTAAGTTACAGGTCTGTCTGTCTGTCTCGTTTTGACGCCAAAACTACTGGATTGATCTAAATAAAATCTGTGAGTATAGACCCTGAGAAAGGACATAGCCAGTTTTTAATGCGAAAAAGGGTTGTAAAGGATTGAAAGCCCTTTCAAACTCTTACAAACATAACGAAAAAAGGGATGTAAGGGGTTGAAACTCCTTTCAACCCTTTTTTATTCAAAGTTATGACCCTTACGCAGCAGGAATATCCGGAATCACCACATCAAATGCGGACGCAATCCATCATAGTATCATTTCGTATCGGTTCGCGGAGATCGTCGACTTTTATCATTACTCTACCACTGAAACATTTAACTATATGATACGGTAAGTTACAGGTCTGTCTGTCTGTCTCGTTTTGACGCCAAAACTACTGGATTGATCTAAATAAAATCTGTGAGTATAGACCCTGAGAAAGGACATAGCCAGTTTTTAATGCGAAAAAGGGTTGTAAAGGGCTGTAAGCCCTTTCAAACTCTTACAAACACAACGAAAAAAAGGGATGTAAGGGGTTGAAACTCCTTTCAACCCCTTAAAACCCTTTTTTATTAAAAGTTATGACCCTTACGCAGCAGGAATATCCGGAATCACCACATCAAATGCGGACGCAATCCATCATAGTATCATTTCGTAACGGTTCGCGGAGATCGTCGACTTTTATCATTACTCTACCATTGAAACATTTAACTATACGATACGGTAAGTTACAGGTCTGTCTGTCTTTCTCGTTTTCACTCCAAAACTACTAAACTAATTTAAACAAAATCTATGACTTTAGACCCTGATATGATATAGCCAACTTTTTAATGCGAAAAAGGGTTGTAAGGGGTAGAAAGCCCTTTCAAACTCTTACAAACACAACGAAAAAAGGGATGTAAGGGGTTGAAACTCCTTTCAACCCCTCACAACCCTTTTTTATTCAAAGTTATGACCCTTACGCAGCAGGAATATCCGGAATCACCACATCAAATGCGGACGCAATCCATCATAGTATCATTTCGTATCGGTTCGCGGAGATCGTCGACTTTTTTCATTATTTATCTACCATTGAATTATTTGGCCATAGGATACTATAAGTTACAGGTTAAATCCTTACTAAATGCGAAAGTAAGTCTGTCTGTCTTTCTCGCTTTCACGCCAAAACTTCTGATAGTTTCAGATGGAACGGTACCAAAGTTCAAATGAAATTTGGTACACAGTTAGTCTAGACCCTGAAAGGACATAAGTTACTTTAAAGCGAGAAAGATTTATGAGAGGTTGAAAGGGAAGATGGAGAATATGAGAGTTGGATGGATGAGATGGAATTTGTATGGAAGTATATTTTTAAAGTTACACCAATGAAACTTTTTTCTTTGTAAATTTGAATTAGATTATTATATTTAAATAAAGAAAGGAACATCCTTTCAATATTTGTTTTTAATTATCACAAAATGAGATATTACCACAGATAACCGTAATACCTCCGTTCGTAATGCTCAGTCCCCAGCCATTTTTAAGCATCTAGTCAAATCCTATTTTCTCTCTTTATAAATATGTTTCCTTCTTCTACACTGTGTTATCTGTGACTTTTTAACTAGTATGATATTTTTTTTTTTCTGGTTTATATGTGTAATATTTGATTAGGTATAATTATTTGATGTATACTATATTATTATATTATTTTATTGTGTATTCGTATGTATGTATATATATGTAAATTTGTGTATGTACTATATTTTTTTTTATTTTGTTTACATAAGTGTATACAATTTTTATTTTTCCACTAATGCGCCACCTACTTTATTTTTTTTTTTGTAAATACTCTCTTTCCAAAGGTTGTCTGTAAGAGATTGCATAAGCGATAAGACCACCTTTTGTACTTAGTTTTTTTTTTTTGTTTTTAATTTGTTCATGTCCTTTATATGTTGGTGCAATAAAGTGTTATAATAATAATAATAATAACATAATATTACATTTATATCCTAACCTTTAATAGTTTTTACGTGAAACAATAACAAACATCCATGCATCCACAAACTTCCGCGTTTATTATATTAGTAAGATAAAAATTATAAACCATTTATATGATAAGTAAAGATTACGTTATTTGATTATATGAAATTGTTAAATTGAATGATATTAATTTCATGAATGTGAAACCGACTCAAGTCCACGTTACTATGTTAATTAGAGATCAATCGATTTCGTACCTTATTATTCACATACTTAGAATTTAAAATTATAAGTGTAATAATTCAAATTGGATTTAATTTAATTAATATATTCGTAATATAGATTAGATTTACAAAAATATATCATGAAAGAACCAAAATCGTTTCGAACGGAAACATCTGCGTAGGTTTAATTTTTTATTCACCTTACATCGTTTTCGCAATGTTATTCTAATTTATGTGCAGGATGCAAATAAAATAATTATCTCTATCTATCTATTTATCTAATTATAACTCACCTGAACGATAACGTTGTCAACGGCCGATAGGACTTATGACTGTTCAAATCCGACATAGGAGTCCCCCAGAAGTCATTCTTAAAAACCCTCGCGATAGGGTTGCCACCATTCACATCACTGTTCGACACAATCGCAGGGATGTCATCATGCACAAACTCACCATCAAAACTATTCGCATAGGTCAACGCACCCACCGATGACACTAAAGCATATATCGCCCACTCGCTCTCACACACGCTACGCCAAGATTTCGTATTCACTTCCTCTTTGACGGGCGGCAACGGGCGTCGCCTCATGATTCCGCACTACACTAAACACATCAAAACGAATCACTTTACCCAAATTGTAGCTTCATGCATACACAATTCCCGAGACTCGAGTTGGGCACACAAAAGGTTCGCCGTTGTCCTATCAGGCAAAAGTGGTTTGTTTGTCGGTGTAGATATCCGGGCCGGATGATGGATTGCCGTCGGGGCATAAATCAACATTGCGGGTCAAACGATGGCTGATGTCATATTCATGAGTGGAGGACGCGCCACGGATTGTGTATAAACGATAGTTTGGATAAAGAACTGTCGGAACGATGCTCGACCTTTTCCTCTTTAATTCTTGCTTCACTTTTGCATGAATATGTTCCTTTATTGCCAAGTATTATTTGTACCTGAAACAAAAACGAAAATTATTACAAAATGTACGTTAACAGTTAAAGGAACTTTTAATATCTTCACCTCTTCATAATTTTATGTACTTAATATCTAGATAACTGTTTCTCTTAAAATGTCCAATTATTATGCGTGAATAGGATTACCAAAACTACAGAAATACACTACATACATGTATATATTATTGTACGTTGAATTGTATATAATAAACAAACTAAAAAAATATTATATATGTTCTTTATGACATTAAAAAAGTTACAAAAACAGAAAAAAAATCTACCTGACCTCTAATATCACAATATTAACTTTACATATATTTAAAGTAGATGGCAGGGTGTGATATTTTAAACACAAAATCTATTTACTCGATATTTTAATTTAGAGTTTAGTAAAAAAATAATGATAATGAGTTCATAGCCCATGGCCAACAATCACGATCTACAGCAGACCACAAAATTACCAGAAAAAGTAACGACTCCTTTCGTCCAATACAAATCATTCGTCACCGACCCCCCAGACCACAAGTGAACAAGACAAATAGCAGCCCTAATGGGCAGCCTGTCAACATTACCTAATGGATAGTGGAACAAAAAAGCCCTTAGCGATGCACCATAGAGTTAAGCCTTCAAGTATGTAGGGCTTTCTCCGTTTGAAATGCTAATGTTATGAGCTAAATTCACTTTTCTCTCGGATTAGACTGTATTAAAAGGGTTGTAGCTAAACCCTATTATACGCTTCTATTGTTACCTTTAGATAGTCTTTGTTATTTGGAATTAAACTTGTATAATACAAGAACAATAATAGTCATTACATTTCAAATAATGATAATAAATTTTATTCAGATTACTTAGATCGTATATTATTACTAACAATAACCTTAAGTGTTTTAGTAATAAATAAAATTCCTACATTACTTAAAAGCCTCGACAAAATTTAAAAGAATGAATGACATATTTACTAGAAGAAGCTAGTACTAAAAAATACATTTCAAGGCAAAATGTCGCGCCTGTATGTACCTAATGATTGTTATAAATTCTTTTTTAATGTCGCTTTGTACTCGTAGTTTTATGGTACTCTTGATGGAAAAGGTAACTTAGGACTATTTACTCGTATATAAGCAGTACTTATCACGTGCTGTTCTTGAAGACTATTGTATTTTGCTACTTGATGCATTTATATTATTTTGTTTTCAAATCCATCAAGTAGTGAAATGGACTTCCGCAAAATAACAACTAAATTCGATTAAATGTTGTATTTTGTGATACTATTAGATTACTTTTTAAACACCTTTCGGTGTACATCCGCATGTTTAATTTTGAATTGCTTAGTGATTATTTTTATTAACTTTTTTCTACTCATGTGCTGCCTACTTTTAGTAATATTCTCTTTCTAAAGGTTGCCTGGAAGTGATTGCATTAGCGATAAGACCGCCTTTTGTTTCCGTTTAGCTTCTAACTTCAATCTATTGCTTATTTGTTGTATCTCCTTTTAATATTAGTACAATAAAGTATCATAAATATATATTAGTCTTTAAGCCTCTGGAATTTCCGATTTTGTATTCCATTGCGTTAAACATATGAATACGCTTTAAGAAAACGTAACACTCAAGGTGAGAATTAATTTGTTTCTATCATCTTTAACAACAAACAACGTAACATTCGCGGTAAGCACGTCTCATTAGTGTGGCAATTACGAGGTACTGATACATTTATGTCATTTGTGTACTCGTATTTTAGCTACTAAATTAGAATCATTTCGTTTAATTCTACTATCATTGGGAAGTGTAATTTTACTAACTGCTGAAGTATTACGACCGCTATTATAGATTTCATCTTTGATATTATAAATTTGTGTGATGGTCATAAAATTTTAATTAACAATAAAAAAATCAACTGTCACTAAGTCTACAGCTAAATTCATAAGTCTAGTTCTGTCTTTATAGGAGCTAACATAAATTCTTTTATAAAGCTAGTATGTATGGCGTTAACAGTAGTATCATAAGCAAAGAAGGTCTTAGAGCTTTTACTGTGATAGTAAGTTCTCCATACTTAACGTTTATACTCTCATAGATTCAAATGATATTTGTAATATTTAGTAGAAATTAAGTTATACTTAATTAACTGGTACTATTGAACTATTCGTCTTAATTTCGTAATATGCAATATAGTCCTTCGAGCCGGATCTTAATTAGGGACCTACGTATATATAGTTGTACTAAAGATATATAAAGATTACAAACAGCTTAAAATATAATACTTTACTGCAAATAATACTTGAAATTTTAAAACTATTGAGACCTACCACAGATACTAACGATACCATATCAATTGTCTTCATTACTTAAAAGTAACTTACAATATAGATCAAGTACCTAAAATTAACAAAACAAATTGGTATTTAGACTGAAACAATATCCTAACATGGTCATGAATCTAAAAACCTATTGTCACTACACCCACACAAATTATATTAGGGATGAAGCAATACAGTGCAGACACGAAGCGCCTAGTCGGCTACCCATCATTAATCAAGGCTCGATTACGGAAACGACTGCTCCCGAACACGTTGGACAAATATTGGATTATATATGATTGATTGGAAACAAGTTTTGTGGACAGCAAACTAATAGCAGTGTTGGTAATCGATATGCCAACACTTGAGCACAGAACAAGCTATGAAATATCCCGATAGTACGTCCAGATACAATATCATAATGTATCTGTAAATAGATTTATAGATAAAGGATTTGAAGTTATATTTAGCACTCATACATCAACAAAAAATAATAGAACACCTAAAAAAATATATATATAATAATACAATATGAACAGTAAGTTCATTATCATTTGACGACCTCGGTGGTCTAGCGGTCTAGCACACCACTTTACGACCGATGGTCGCGGGTTCGATTCCTCGCACGGCACAAACATTTGTATTCATGAGTATGATTGTTTGTATCGGTCTGGGTGTTTTCTATATATAATATGTTTGGATTTACAAAAAAAATATGTATCAGCTATCTAGTACCCATAACACAAGCTTGAGCTAGCTTAACTTGGGTCTAGATGGCGCTGTGTGAATTGTCCTGGAAAAAAAAAGAAAAAATATTATATAAACGTTCAAGCTAATTTAACGTAACCAAGAGTAAGCTCAGACCTTCAGACCAGACACTAGCTAAACCGTTAGCGCAGGCGGCTGACACATTCCATTATCATCCTCTAAAAAATTTTACCATCAGATGAGGTAAGACCAAGCGCAATCCCATTATTAATAAAAAAAAAACATGCACGTATTATACATATAAACCTTCCTCTTGAATTACCTATCTATTGTTGAAAACTGCATTAAAATCCGTTGCCGTAATTTAAAAGATATCAGCGAACAGACAGCGGGTTTAACTTCATTACATAGTATAAAACGAAGTCGCTGTCGCGGTCTGTCCGTCCCTATGTATGCTTAAATCTTTAAAACTACGCAACGGATTTTAAAGCGTTTATTTAAATAGATAGAGTGATTCAAGAGGATGGTTTATATGTATAATACATGTAAACCTAGTAGTTGTTTTATACTATGTAAAGATGTGCGTTAGTTACGTTGTATGTGGTGCCACACCTTGTCTATGGGGCTGTTCAAGTATTACGTAAGCAGATTTATCACAATTATTTACCCCCCATCCCCCTTGTCAGCAAAAGTAAGCAAAGCTCTTACCCCCTCCCCCCATGCTTACGTAAACATTTCTAAATTAATGTATTGTTTTTTTAGCAAAGACAATGTGAGGGTTGCCATTCGTGTAAAAAAGTAAATTACGACCGATGACGTAATCATCATACAGACTCCCCCACCCCCATGTCATCCAAAATAAGCAAAGAAAAGAGCCCCCGCCCCCCTATAGTGCTTACGTAATACTTGAACGGCCCCTATCCTATTCTCAATAGTACTCATCATTTGCTCTTCTAAATACCTTATTAATTTACTACCCCGTATATATTATGGGGTAGTCATGTAAGAAGGCATTAGGAATCATTAATTAATAAATTTCAGAATCATTTCATTCAAGTCTATTACAGTATCTGAAAATTCTGTAATAACATTATCCTCACCTATGGATGTACGCCCTATTTCACCCCTGTGAGGTTCAAATAACAGATTAACTATGATAATGCACGGGCCCAATAATCAATCACAAATTTTACAGATAATCACTTAAACCTGGTTTCCGAAAGAGCATTAAATGTATCAATGCTAGTTCCGGTATTAGTTCAAATTGGGATATACACTCCATTTTGGATGTGCTGGATTACAGTGCAACTAGCTTCGCCCGCGGCTTCGCCCGCGTAGTAGTAAGTATTATTATTAATTAGGTGTAGTTTTCTAGGTTCTTTTATAATATTATTGTTTCATGAAATTCTTCCTGATAATGTTATACATATAACATTATCAGAACAACGGTGAAGTCTAGAATACAGCTCCTTGCATAACTTGGCAGCGTCCATATTTTTCCAAAAACTTTTTATAATTCCTTTCTACGCAGTAAACTAGTGCTTCGGGGAGCTGGTCCAATTCCCAGACGCTTCATGTTTCTCCAAACACTCCCATAACTCTGTATGTGATCGTATACCCAAAATCCCTAAAATATTGTATAACACAACATACAGACAAACCGCTAAAATATTGTAGACCTCAACGTAATTAGAAGACAGTGAAATTGATCCTGTAACTGGATGAGGATGAATGTGTACTAAAGAAATAAAACATCTGCCTCGTAGCAACAGCATCGCCCGACATAACATCTCTATTTTATAATTCCTTTTCAAGCTTCCCATGTTTTATTTTTAATTTAATTACTTCGGTAGATAAAAATACTTACGACATATTAAAATGATTAATTTGAAATCTCATTAT